GATCTAGGCAGCCTGTCAGCGAGACTTGTTTTCAACCCGCTAATGGCTATATATTTTGTCTACAAAATTAATTGTTTTCCCTCTTTCTGTTCCGTTCTATTTTTGTTCCGACGCCGTGACTATTATTCACTGACCAAGCCTTACTCCACCAGCTGCATCTATTGTAATATTAATTGGGCTCCACTGTAAATTAAATGATTTTGTTGAGCGTATGTGCACAAAGCACTGCCTTCTCGCAAATGTCATTGATTAAGCTACATTTTTGCATCCTCTGAACAGCGTCTGTTTGTTTGTTTGTTTGTTTGTTTCAATATGAGCACACACTTTTTTTAAATAAATATTTTATTAATATTTATTTGACTGCAAATGGGTTTTTACCTGGTGGCAGTGGTCCTACAGTAAGACACAAAACAATAAGACACAACAAAACATAAGACAACAAAAACAATAAGAAACAACAGAAAAATGAGACAGAACAAAACAGTAAGACAAAAAGACTTAAGACAACAAAAACAATAAGACACAACAAAACATAAGACAACAAAAACAATAAGAAACAACAGAACAATGAGACAGAACAAAGCAATAAGACACCAAAAAACATAAGACAACAAAAACAAGACACAACAAAACAATGAGACAACAAAACAACACACCACACTCAAAATAAAGCAGCTCATAATATTACAAAACCATATAACCTAAAGTACATAACTTAAAAATTAATACCAACTAGACATAAGAGAGTAACAGTAATGAATTACACGTTTCATATACAGTGTGGTCCTCATCTTTAATTACATAATCACTCATAAATTCATACACGTTTGTACGTGTGTAGCTCCAAAGTATGTGCGAATCGCAGTTTCTTAGAGAAAACAGTAATTTGTAATAAGGTCTTATGTCGTCATTTCCTTTTATAAATTAGTGACATTCAACATTCCACCACACGGACTTCCGAATGTAGCGTTTGTGCTAAGGTCTGTAAAGAAATTGAAGTAGATAAAATTTACAAAATACTTCAGCGAGATTCTTTCTTCCATAAAATTTAAATAAATGTAATGCGTACGGACGAGTGTTATAATGTTTTATCTTTGTGTTAATGTAATATCGTTAATAATAATATTGGTTTGTGTTTTTCTTGGCTACTTGAAAAAACTCTTAATCAGTTAATTTACTTACCAATGCTCTGAGTATCTTATTAAGCTGGAGGAACCTGCTGTCAACGACCTTAATGCGTCAGATTTAGGTATTTCAGAATATGCGCAACTAACTTTTACTTTAAAACTTCTTGACGATGGTGAAGAGTCAATTGAATAAAAATTTACTTGGATATTATCCATCGTCTAGTAATAAAACGTAAAAAACGTAAAACGACGTTTCGGAGATGAGGCTCTATCTCCGTCTTCAGGTTCCTACTCAGTTGGGCCCACTAGATAGAGCTAATCCCTATCTCTAGTGGGCCCAACTGAGTAGGAACCTGAAGACGGAGATAGAGCCTCATCTCCGAAACGTCGTTTTACGTTTTTTACGTTTTATTACTAGACGATGGATAATATCCAAGTAAATTTTTATTCAATTAACTTTTACTTTGATCGGAGTTAGTTGTAATATATGTTCTTTCGTCACTGGAGAGAAATTGTTTAAAAATTCACTTCCATAACAGAACATGAGATATGAACAGCTGTACACATGCAGAAATAAGTT